CGAAATGTTATTGTTAAATGTTAGGACAAAGTTACAGCTAGGCGTTTCAAAAAAGTTGACTAATTAGACATAAAGAAATCATCAAAAAACTGTTTTCCCTAAAACTATTGCATAAAAAAAGGGGTGAAGTTCGAAAGATACTCTAACTAAAGACTGGTGTCTGTGAAGGATACTGCCGACAAGAACCGCACTTACACCATGACTTAAGATTTCATAGGAAATTTTGCGAATTTCTAATAAAATTTGGCTCATCCTTAATATAAATGGTAAATGTTCAAATGAAGCACAAATTCGTGTATTCCAGGGTTACAGATTTTAATGATATACAAAATGACAAAATGAGATACAGATGAAAACCTTGATGTGTATAGGTCTTTGATCGAATGAGAACGCCATTACTGTCGTCATGCCATTGAAAAAAATAATCCAAGCAATAAATACGCTTACTTTCATTTTTCTCTTATTTTTCTTTTCTTCCTAGTTGACAGCGACTTTCTCCTTTTCTTTTTTGCATTATTCGTTGACTCATGTTATCATATTCGTCACCAAAAAAGTAAGCAAGAGCCTTTCTTCGTTTATTCTGTCAGGTTTTTGAAAGTATAGGTAACTCCAACAAGCAATAAATGGTGAGTTGAATGAAAATCGAATTATTAGAGCCAGTTTGAATTTATTGACAGATAGTGTAATAATGTTGGAAGTTTTTGAGGAAAGAGTGAATAATAATGATATTTCACCGAATCTCTTTGCAGTACCTGTGCGAAAAAAATATGCAGTTTTTTTTCTCGCTCTCATTCTATTAGCAACCTGTATAGAGAAGAGTAAAAGATTGATTGCACAATAAATTACTCACTCGACGAAATTGATTTCTTCTCTTTTCACAAGTGAGAAATGTGGCCAGTGCACGCTATGGGTAGATGCCGTTTTGGTAAAGTAGTTGGATATAGATAAGTACATAGGGAGTATAGAACTATGATGAAAATATCATTTTTATCATAGTTCCAGCCTTCTTATATGCTTTTGTAGTGAATAGATTCATCTTAAGCCAACTGTGTAACGGTTCATGACCGTTATGCTTCACCTATCCTATGTTCTCTCTTCCTTTTTATTGTGACCTCTTCACCTAGCACTGATCTTCTGTCTCTATCTTTGTTCTTTCATATGTGACCGCCCCTTCTAATATATAAGGCGTGTTCAATAAAAGGAAAGGGACAGTTGTGAGAGTGCAGATGACACAAGACACCATCGTGCCGAAAGGCATAGGCAGTCACTCTCATAATTCGTCACAAACTGTATGCTTTCATATGATGAGTTACATATGATGAGTTACATATGATAAATGTTTGTTATAGATGTCTGCTGTCTCCACTTTCGAAATGCTGCCTGATGAAATGATATTACATGTGTGTCATTATCTTCGAGGGGCCGATGTTCTCTTCTCGTTTTTCAATCTCAATGCTCGCCTGAATGTAACAATCACTGGTTATTATCGTTATATAAATTTGATGGCCGTCGCACACCAACGATTTGATAACGTCGCCTCTGACATTCTACCGAAAATCGGTTCTTTTGTTCGATCCTTTGTGCTAAATCTGAACTGGGAAACAATAATGTCTGCCAAAGCATTCGCCGTCCTTTTCACCACACGCATGTCATTCATTTTTCCTCAACTTGAAAGCCTGACACTTAAATCATTCACCGGTGAGAGGCTTTTATTGTTTCTTGATATGCTTCAAGATCATCCGCAGCTCGTCGAACTCAAAATCCGATTTCTCAAGGGCTGTAACCAAGATGAATTGCTGCAAAAAGTTCTCGCTGCCAATAACGGGCGACTTATGTCAGTATCGTTCGATCAGGATACAGATTATTTGAATGTGTCCACAGAAGATGAAACGGTTTCCTATCCCAACATTAATGAACTTACGGTAAACTTGAAGCTTGGTCGAATGATGTCACGCCTTTTCACACTTGTACCAAATATACGTCGTTTGCATGTTAGCTTTGACGAACTATCAGGTAGCCCAAAGTTCAACCAAACATTTACCAGCCTATCAGCTCTTGTTCATCTTATCGACTTTCAGTTACGTTCGATTAATCTCTTTTGGACGTTTGATGAAATAGTTGATGTACTACACCATATGCCATCGTTGCAAAGGCTTGCACTTGATCTACGTACAGAAGACGAACGTCTTGTCAAGGAAGAAAATTTGAGCTTGGCTTTACCTTCATCTGTCCAAGAGATCCAGTTTTTCATTCGCTATTACTTTTCTGGATCAAACTTTGATGTAGGTACTTTGTTTCCTTCATGGACAACTCAACACTCGGTCGCCTACATGCTTGAGGAAGCACGGAATCGTATACTACTTTATACTGTTCCTTGTGGTCTACAGTCCATTATTCTATCAGCAAAAATGGGAAGAAAGATGTTGACTGGCTGGAACTATATGCAGCAAGTCGAAGATCTACAAGTTCATAATGCAACATCATTCAGCGAAATATTTTCCATACTTCAACATTTTCATCGCCTTCGAACACTCAGGATTTACGTACAAAACAAATTAGATATTGGTAAGTGTTTTTGCTAATTTTTTTGCAGGTTTTTATACATGATGTATGTGTTTACGAAAAGATTATCAGCAAGTGTGTGAGTGTGAGTGTTCTCTTCACGTCATGCACACCCACATTCATACTGTTCATCCGAATTTGACCCTACTCGACTAAATTTTACTCGTTCCGATCTGATCCCAAATTAGTTAAACTCGTTTTTCATCAAAGACCTATGAAATGTCTCTTGATCGTCTATTCTCGGAGTACCTCTAAATGACTGCATGCAATTCTATATTGTTCATAAACCAAAGCGAAAAGTATTATCAAAGAAAATTTGAAACTCGATCAATTTAAATACAAATCAGCTCTTGTGTTGAGTTGGGTTTGCTTCAAGAATGCTAGAATCGAATGAAAATGTTATTTGTTTGTGATTATAGTGACTGTGGAGCAACCAACTCAACCAATTATCCTAAAACTACCTCGACTCAAGAAGCTCGAAGTGAATGGAGCATGTGAACTATTACACTTGCTCCAAGCAGCACCCAATCTTGGTCATTCGGTCATTGACTTTCATTGTCTCAAGACTCTTCTCGACGACGAGCCTACATGCCAATTATTGCAACGACGTATTGTTCGTCTTGATATCCTTGATTTCGTGTACACTGAACTGAATCTACTGAAACACATCGCTCAAGTGTTTTGTTTTCTTTATGAATTTATCTTGATTCTGAAAGATTCAAAAACGCTTGCTGATTCTATTATATTGGCGATACTCGATCTATGGAATGATAAACAACTTATTTCGGTCTATGTCAAGGGTTCACTATCAGATGAAGCAAACCAAGACCTTCGCCAATGGGTGATTGATCATAGTCATTTACGAGTCGAAGACTCATTTTCAGTTAAATATCATGACAATTATTTCGACTTATGGTTGTAATATTCTCCAACTATAACTTCAATAGAGACTTTATACTATTTTACTAGATCACTATACAATACTACAGATTTATACTGCTATTTTCAATTTAGAAAATGATTTAGACTGTTGGATCTACAACCCAGGTCCAAAAGTACGGATAGGTGCCGACAGGAAAACACCGGAAATCGCTGGAACGTGGGAACAGTATTTTGCTGGAAAATTTTAGGATTTTTTTTCGGTCAGTACCTGCCAGCTTCCCGTTCTTTCCGGCAGAAAATGACCATAAATCGCTAGAAAAGATTCGTAAATTTTCCTGCCAGATACGATGCCTTTTTCTACATCTTTCCTGTGGATTTCTGCGAAATCCGACGATTTCCGGCTACATGAATTATTGACCTAGGAAGGTTTTCAACAGTCAAAAAATGACATGGGTCAGTTAAAAAGAAAGTGCAATAGTTTCGTTTCTTAAGCTGAAAAAATAGTATCTATTGCTGATAAATGAAATGAAAAACATTCTATAACTGAAGTACTTTGCGGCAGAAGAAACCTTAGCCTTTTAATACAGCATATATTATATATCCATTGCAGTAAGTTTCTATCCTATACACCATCCCAAAATGTTCATATAAAAGTTCAGATAAGCAGATGAATTTAGTTGTTCTTTTTACTTCATCCAATCTCATTCATGCATTATGAATATTACATGATCATTATATAAAAAAAACATATTCAACTAGTCAATATCGATCAAAAATGTTTAGTTTTCTTTCATAAAACACATTTTAGGTTCGTCTGCGGGTGTTGGTGTGAGCGAGAGTGATGGTGAGGATATCGATGGTGATATGGGTGCAGATGTGAGTGTTGGTGCGTTGAAATATCCTCGTAATTAATGAATCCTCCAACGAATAAAATAAATCCCAGTAGCTCCTCAACTATAGACCTGAAGTCCTTCTATCTAATTTGCATGTCAAAATGAAAATTCCATTAAGACTGCATTATATTATTATACATTTTATGGGTGCCCAAAAAAAAACAAATTGGTTAGGTAAGAATTTCAACTCATACAATATTATATCAAAACATGTCCTAACTCAACTTGTCGATTGGTGAAAACCACAGATCGCTAGCTATTGCCATTCTCGAGATATTCGTCTTACAACAACCCATACTTCATTCTGACGCCGATAATAGTTTCACTAAATAACGTTAATGCATATTGATTTACCTCTAATTACAAAATTTCAATCAATTAATTGCTGCAAAGAAGAAAAAAGATTATCTCGTGCAGCCGACAAGCAACTACAACTGAATACTTACAAGATGCAAAAAAGAAACTGAAAACCTCCAAACAACAAGCACTTTTGACCGATCCCGATGGTGCTGACATCAGATAGGTTTAACTATATTATGAAAATATATTTTACTGAAATGAAAAATAATCTTTATTTGTTCATAGAAACGAAAACGAAAACGCGTTTCCATATAGGTTTCATTATACAAATGGAAAAAGAAAAACGTATTTTATACATCTTGTTTATCGTATTTTTTGAATCTGAACACTACTACTATTTATTGTATTGGATTGAGTAATTTGTAATTGCGAATTAATATCATCATCATCGTCATCATCTTCAGTCCATAAATCATTAAATTTTGTTTTTTGCTGTTCAATAATTGGTCTTTTAACAATATAATCAATTCGATTGTTATTTAGTTTATCTGTTTGTATTGAATTTTGATTAAGAATATTATCAATATCAGGTGCACTAGCAGTCAATTTTTCTGTCGTAGCTTTAAATTGTGCATTAATAATTTCAATTTGAACATCAGTTAATTTATTATGAGTTGAATTTATTGTCGATGATGGTGATAAAACATGTTTTTTATTTTCAAGATATTGGGCAAGTGAAAGAACTTTACGTTTTTTATTATCATCAGATGATTGAGATTCACTTAAATTAAATAAAACAAGATCTTTAAATTGTTAATTGAATTAATTATCCTAAACCTTATTTCATCAGAATTTCTTCTATCATTATTACAATTGTTTTCAACAATTGTTATATGTGAATGTATTGTAGATTTGATTTTTGTAGATGTGGATATTAGTCTTTTATGATGCCATCGTTTTAGTAAACTTTTTGCTAATGAACTATAATTAGCTGTTTTATTTGATGCAAGTTGACGAATGAGAAGATCAATTTGAGTTTCCTATTAAATGAAAACAATCGAGAAATTATTTTAAAGTTTTAATTGATGATTACTTGAATTATGGAAGTAGTAACAGATGTTTTATATAATTTACGAAGATATTCTTTTACCTAAAATAATTATTAAATAAAATACAATTATAAAATGAAAACTATTCACTTTTTCATGCTCTTTTAAAGCAGTATATTTTTTAAGTTTTTTCTGTACTATTTCGATCGTAGTGATAGCTGTTTCATTACTCATTGTTGTCGGTCAATCTGAAGAAAACTTCAACAAAAAATATGTAAATTTTCTTTGAAAAATGAAATATTTATTGTAAGAATAAAGAAATTTTTTTGTAGGAATAAATAAGTAGAGAAAAGGAAGTGTGTGTGTGTTTGAGTGCAAATGTGTGCAATAACAACAATGCATAGGATTCGTTGGTATTATAACAAATCGTTAAACAGAAGGAAAAATATGACTTTTCATGATGTCGTTACTTGTCGACTAAGTTATCTTTCAATGTTTGATTATATATTTTTTCTCATACATGAATTATAATATGCGATCTGATGATATAAATTGTAATGAGATGTTTGAATCCATATCGAATGTACTTAGTGAGGTGACATCTGAATTTGCTTCATCTAAAATCAGACTATACCAATAGAAGAAGGATGAGTAACTTTTAAATGATACCGCAAGAAATAAGCAAAGTGTTCAGGAATGATGGTTAAAGCTTGAAAAAATTTTCATTTTTCTCTAGTGGAGTTTTAGAGCTTTCTTGTCTTCTTTGACTTACCGATTCCTAAAAAGGCGTTAGACCTTACAAAAATTCGATCAATTTTGGTGCAAGCTTGGCAATCGACGTCTTAAGTCATCGGTCATCTTTCTCATTACTCCAAAATCGTAATCTCTTTGGGACATTACCTGAAATTTCTTTTTCTACTTTCGAAAATGCTATCACGGCCTTTGATTTTTTTCAGTCAAGTACAACACACAATACTTTCCAAAAATCGTAAATACTTCAAGTGCCTTGCTTTTACTTGAGATATTTAATACAGGAGACGCTGTCTGTATATTTTATTTTTTTAGAAGGATAAATTTCACGCAAGGAATGACGCTACACTACAGTGATGTGTTAGCAGAAGTACCTTAGGTTCTGCTTGAGAACACTAGAAATGTGAGATGTTGCAAAAGTCAACAACCTAATTTTAGTGAATCAGAAAAAAAATATTATAAATAATCTATACGAGTGACGTTTTTTTGTATACTTATGAATAGAAACTTTTCAAAATAGTTGACATTCTCAATGTATTCATAGATTTTCAGTTCGACGTTGATATGATGATTCATGCATATGTGATAAAATACTGAATGTTCTTTATCGGAAAATTATGTTGTCATTGGTTTCCATATAGGATTGAAAAATATCTGATAATGTCGTATCAGAAAGTATGTTATGGAAATTCTGAAATGACTTTACAATTTGTCGTGTATTGCAATCTACAAAAACAAAATCTTTACAACTTTGGTAGACCATTATCCCTGCTTAGTACATAATATATCTGAAGTTTGAGATTTATACCTTGTACCATGAACGAGATATTGCAACAGTACTATCATATACTATTTGACCAATTCACCATAACTGGGATTGACTCATTTCTTTAAAATTCTTCAAGTTTTATCAACGAATGATTAGAACTTATTAGACTACAATCTGGTGATCATCATAAGGAGGTATATTTGATTGGTGACATATCCACGTAATTTATTCGAACTATCGTAGCAGAAAAAAAAAATTAAATAATTAGTTGATTTATGAAACGTAATTTTTCAAGATATTCAAGTTCATAAATAAAGGATGCAGATGAGTTTGGATAATTAGTTTGTTACCTCTGGCAAAGTATTTGTGATATAATTGAATTGAAAAATTTTCAACTCGAAATTTTGCCCATAGGTAAGTCTCATGAATCTAAGAATGCTTTTATAATCTCAGTCCAAAATGATGTGTTGTACTTGTGATATCGAATACTGAAGAGACTGATCTTTCTTATCTTTCCTTGCGATTTATGATTGTTTTTACATATTCAATATCTCAAGAAAAACATATTCGTTTGTCTGAAATTTTCAAAAGATTCTAAGGCCCATGAGACACCTACTTATGGGCAAAATTTTAGATGGAAGTTATTTTTACTTTGATTTTTCGCAAATATATCTTGCCAGCAATGAAAGATTTAGTAAAATTACAATAGCTTAGGAAGAACGACGTACGAGAATAAACTTTTATAGGCTTCTACTAGTCTCGTTGGGACCTATTTAAAAGTAAAGCATCAGCTCGATTGGCGAGTCACATATAGAGATCTCCCTTCTTAACTGTGTACAATAGTTTACCAAAGTTGCAAAACTTTGCATATTTTGAATGCAAGAACGATGAGTTTTAAACTCGTTGTAGAAATTCTGAGACACCTTTTATATTTTTGTTCAATCTTTATATTGAATGATAGAATTCGCTGAGGTTTCGATTCGATTTGTAGAGTTAATTGCTAAAAATCACAAGAAAAGTTCTCAAATTGATCTAAATCGTTTTCAATCAAACATTATCCATGTATGAAAGCCATTATCCTAAGAAAAATCGTAAGAGGAATACGATTTTCTTTGAAGATTATGATTATTTTACTGATTTTTTTAATCTAGAATAATGTATTTACAGAAAAACCTCAACAACAAATTTTCTAAGTGAAGTATTGTCTATATAGAGTTCTTTTGAGTACCAGAACACTGAACTTTAGTTCGTTTTTATTAGTTTATGATAAACTTATATGAATATTTGTACCTACGACAAAATATGTTATAGATATTGAAAATAGTATTTTCGACATTTAATTTGATTAAGAAATAAATAAATGAAAATATTTTAATAGATGAAAAATGATTATACAAATTCAATAACATATATTTGACAAAAACCTGGGATCAAGAACTGCTTTAGAGATGAAAATGAAAAATTCTATTAAATTGACATATTCAATGGTTACTATTAATGTTATTTATTAGATAAATATATTTGTTTGATTTTTATTTGAGATAAAATTTGTCATTAGAAAATATATGAATACCTTTTGTTTAATTTAAATAATTTCTCAATTAAATTTTCTAAATGGAAGCGTGAAAGATAGATCATAAACATTACTAACTAGCTTTTGATCAAGGATAAACAATAATAGTTTAGAAAAAAAGTTTTCTCTTGGTAATTAAGTGTTATGTTATTTCTACTTTGTGTTTCCCATGAAAATACCATTCTTTTTCAGAAGAAAATGTACAAATATAAGCACATCAATTTTCTTTACATATGTATACATGCTGAAATTTATTCGATCCTTTTATTTTTTATTTAATAATGATACGAACAAGACGGTAAATGTTGAGGATAGTTTTCTACAAAGTAGTCATGATCATGATAACAATCACAAATAAATTGAGGTTTTTTTTTAATGCTTTTTTCGATTTCATACAAAAACTCTAGGTTAATTGTTCGCCGATTTTAAGACTGTTTAATCGATCAAACGTAGGCACTTTTGACAATATAGGACTTTAAGTAGAGTAAAATTGAAGCTATCAATAACAGAGATATGCGGAACCTCGCTTATACAAAAATATTTCACACGCGATCAGTTTTATTCACAATGATAGATTTAATTTTATGATAAATATTAAAAGATTTTCTTCTACAAACTTCATAAAAATGGTTGTTCTCCATATAAACTGTGTTGATAGTGAAACTCTCTACATTCATAATAATTGAGTCATACATAATTGGAAGTAATATCGCAGTTAGTAGGTAAATTGGCATATCTTTCTAATAATTCGAAATTACACTAAATAGTTTTATTTTACGATAGAATTTTATCAAAAAAAAATAAATAGAACAGGAAAAAACGCTGCTGATAAATTTTCAATGTGAATACTCAACAGTATGTTTTAATTTCAAGTATGTGGCGACAAAGAAGAAGGAGCATTGCAGACGCCCCTCTTCGATAAAATTTTCATTTTCTCTCCATAAAAAAAACGTTGTTATTATTGAAAAACAAGATATTAGACTCCACCCTTTACTTTTCTTCGTCATATCTCTATTGAATGTACATGAAAAATAAGATTAGAACAACGAATTGTTCATAATAATTGCACGATGCTTGAAATTATGCGTATAATATTTCAAAGAAAAAGCCATCTACTAAGACAAAAATGGTTGCTTTATGTGAACAACCAATTGGGCGAAGAAAGAAGTAAAAGAAACCATCAATAGCATATGTAACATACAAACGCATGAATGAAATAGAAATAGGATACGTGTCTAAATGTAATTTCTTATCTTCTCTAATTCTATCATCGTTAACTTCTTTATTGAATACAAGTTTTGAAACAAAAGCACAACATCTGTGATGTTTTACTAAATAGGGTGATATTAAAAATTTTCTTTAATGCAAGTTTTTTAAACATATTTTATTTAAAAGAAAGGCTATCTGTGATGATATCCCATTACAAATATATGTGATAAAATGTCAGCTATCCACTAAAAAATGTTTCGATTATAATCGATTTAGGATATTTTATTCATAAAAAAACGACCTAAAATCGAATAAATTAATTATTATCTTGGTTTGTTGCACAATGACCCGCAGATAATCGAAGATTTTTTTTTCACCTGGACTACAACAACAACACTAAGAGTATAGTAGTAGACAAAAAGACAACGCTAAAGAATACCAGAACGCGACGCGTGTTTGTTACACATCTATGCAAAGAGGTTCGGTCATATGTGGGGCAACTAGATTAACCCTTATATATTCTTTTTTTTCTATTAAAAATCTTTTCTATTTTCACGTTTACATCAACATTTATTTTGTGTTATGTAGATTTTATCATAGAGAAAATTTGACAATATTTTTCTTATGAAACCTAGAAATAAAATAGCATTTCTACATGATGATTTTTCTTCTTTTACATTATAGAACTAATCAATTTGTCAAACATATAAAATTCTTTAAAAAATATCGACAATGCCTTCGATCGTAGCTGCTATTGAAATGGGTGGTACAGGATGTAAAGTAGCAATAAGTGATGATAATGGGCAATTTACTGAAAAATATTCATTACAAGTTGTAACAACAACAGCAGAAAATACTTTAGGTGAAATACATGATTGGTTAGCATTAAAGAAATCTGAAAGACCATTTCTTGCAATTGGTATTGCATGCTTTGGACCTATTGATTTAGATAAAACAAGTAAAACTTATGGATATATTACAACAACACCAAAACCAGGATGGCAATATGTTAATGTAGTTGGTGCTTTTCGTGATTTCAATGTTCCGATTGCTTTTGAAACAGATGTTAATGCACCAGCAATGACTGAAGCGGCCCTTCGAGGTGATACATCAGCAGCTTACATTACCATTGGAACAGGTAGTATTATTATGAAATTTTTTTAATAAAACTATTTTATAATATTATTATATAGGTGTTGGTGTTGGTCTTGTTCTTGAAGGTCAACCAATTCATGGTTTAATGCATCCTGAAGGTGCTCATATTAAAGTTGAGCGTTTATCTGGCGATGATTATCCTGGTTGTTGTCCATTTCATAATTCATGCATTGAAGGTATGTCAAAAGCTAAAGCAGTTGCTGATCGTCTAAATATTTTACCAAGTCAACTAAATACAATACCTGATGATCATCCTATATGGAATATTGAAGCATATTATATAGCACAATTATGTGCAGTAACTATTTATCTCACATCAGTTCGACGTATTATTATTGGTGGAGGTTTAATGAAACGAAAAATTCTTTTTCAACATATAAGAAAACATGTTCAACAAATATTAAATGGTTACATTAATTTACCAACAATTACACAACATCTTGATGAATATATTTGCCCATCAACACTTGGCGATCTTATTGGTATTCAATCAGCTTTTGATTTAGCACAAGCAATAATAAAAAATTGAATTTTACATTAGACAGCTCTTTTAATGGTAATAATTGTCGTTATTATAGTATTTCTAACAAAAAATAATACGGAACATTTAAAATCTAAATAAAAAAGTATAGTATTTCAGATATTCCAACAATTAATTTCAGGAAATCTTTATCTTATTATCCGATCGAAGAAGAAACGAAATTTTTTTTTATAGTTGACAAAAAATATTAAAATATCGTTTTTATTAACATGAAAATGTTTTTAAAGATAAATATTAAAAAAAAATTCGATGTATAAGAAGAGAGATCAAGCAAATAATATAATAAATCAGAACAAGTGTACAACTATTCACAAATGTTTTTTTTCAAACAGAATCTATGATTGAATCAATCAAAAATGAAGATTTCGTATTTTTTTTTTGTAAAAGCTTTAGAACATTTAAGATATGAATTTTTTTTTATAAACTTCATTCGTAGAATTTTGTTCAATGAATATATTATTTCTATCTTTACCATTATCACGAGGACTAGCAATGGATAATGGTGAACATGGTGGTGTTGGTGGATCACATCGATGACCCACATATGGTTCATCCCATTTTGTTCGTTCATATTTTGAATTTAGTGTTGTTGGCACTACTGTTGATATATATTGTTGTTTTTTTGTTGTGATTTGATGTAATTTAGTAGATGATTTTCGATCTGTTGTTCTTTGACGTCTTCGTTTTGAAACAGATGTGTTTGGTAAAGATGTTGTTTCTTTTCTTTCTACAAATGTAGCTATAGCTGTTTTCTTTTCTAATGGTTTTAATAATTCTTGTTTTGATATTTGTTTCTTAGTTTTTGGTTTATTTGAAGGTAAGGGAAATCTATAGATTTTTGTTGTTATCGTATTTATTTTATGTTTAATTTCATTATCATTATTAATAACTGTATTATTATTTTGTATTGGTGGTAAAGGTTTTTTTTCAATTAATTTCAATTCAGTCATGAGAGAAGCTTTTTCATCTGATGAAAGAATTTGAGGTAAACAAATATGACTGTCTTCTTTTATAAATGATGATTGTTTATCAGATATTGTTGGTGAAGAAGCATTAGTTGCAAAAGAACTATTTGATCGAATTGATGATGCACTACTCTTACTATTATTTTCACTATGTATATGAGATAATGAATTATGAACAGTGACAAAATCTTTTGTAGCTAAAAGAACTTGATCACATTTAGAATCATATAAAACATGGTTAGAATCATTAGTTTCTTGTCTAGAATCAAATATAATACGTACATATGTATAAATATATAAATAAAAAATTTTCATTTACCGTCGTCTTTGTGCAAATGATGATGCCCAATATTTTTTCCATGAAGACAATGTATAAGCAGTATTGTTTGCAAAATCATTTGTTGATCGAAGTGGTTCTGCTTTAATTGTAACATGTTTTGATAGTGTATCAAATAAACGAGAACTTCGGTCATCAACATTTGTTAAGATTGAAGTCGATGTAACAGTTGTTCCAGTACCTATTATTGCTCTTAACGGCTCTTTATTACTATTTCTCTGTGGTTGTTTGATTTTAATCGATGCAGACATATCGATAGTTGTTCCTGGATAGTATCGAGCCATTTCATGATCAATAACTTTTGTATGCATCCTATGCAATTCATCTGATGCATTAACATGAAGAGGTGGATCACGAGGACATCGTCCAATCCATCGTTTGGGATGTTTATGAGTCGTTGTACGATCATGTTGATAATTATTATTAACAGTTGACAACAATATGGGTAGAGTAATTTGTTCAGACGTTAATCTATTTTGTATTCGATGAATATTTGAAGGAATTTGTGTTGAGATAGAGGGTAAAAATTTGATACAATCGACCATTTTTTAATAAAATAACGGCAAATAACTTGCTGTACTAGCTTGCTTTTATCGACATGTGAATAGTAAATGGCTTCAAAGTTCGGTAGTTGTCATTTAAATGGTGTTATAGTGTTTCAAACGATTAGTATGTTTGCATTTATGTTGTCAAGCGATTACGCTTTTCAAGATAAAACTAGAAGAATAAATACTTATATAAACACCATACTTATGCGTTAATGTTCGACATCGAAATGTTATTTTTATTGCACTGAATAGAGAGAATTATAGTTATTTTTCAAATAATATTTTTGATTCAAAAAAAGATATTATTAGATTGCAAAATTTAATCGATGAATTTAATCGCCTAAATTTATCTATTCATCAGATATTGGTTGAACGAGATGTGTTGATTAATTAATAAGTCATCCTCGTAATCATCGATTTGAAAAGTAAATACGAACTTGTTCGACAAAGATTTGGAGAGATATTGACATATAAGATGACATTGATCTAATCATGATAAGATAATTGAACAAAAATAAGATATAGAAGAAAATAAATGTATTTTTGTTAATTGATGACGAATTGAAATAACATTGTTTACTAATGAATTGTAAATAAAAAAAAGTACACTCATATGAGTTGTTAAAGTTTATTCAAGCCTTACTTATGACGAAATAATCGATGGCGATGGTAATGATGGTAATACAACAATAAGTGGCTCATAAAAGAAAATGGATGGAGAAAATGATAAGAACTGTGCGCATGATAATAGAAAATGATGAACGAATAGCTGGATAATAAGTGTTAATATATTGTAAGATGAATTCATGTTTTTGAATCTATTCTAATTTGAATACTACCTTCAACATTTCTATATTGTTGTTTTATGTCAATAATTCATATCGTAATGTAAATCATAATTGCCTATAGACCACATATGATAATCTAGTCTGGTTCGAACTGTATGCAAACCAATTAATGTTTTTGGTTTTTCAAATATGTTTAATTGTATTCCTCTGCACTAATAAATCATTCTACTTTCAGTTCATTACTTAACTTACTTTTATAAAAATAAGATAATAAGAAGTTCTTGGATGAAATAATAAATTACAACAAAGTGACAAACATCATAAGCATTTTGCATACAAAAGAAAGAGTTGAATTAACGTTATAGTTTTCATCATATCAGTTCTGTTTCGCATAATCGAAAAAATGTAATCATGATGACAAAAAAACATAGGATGTCATACAATGAAGAGGTAAAAAAAAATATTCAATGAAAAGTAGAGAATAAGTGACACTTATCATAAAAGGCAAACATATTTACATTGGCCAATCAATTTTCACAACAGCACGAGCGCAAATTTAACTATTCAATTATTTTGGATCTAAAAAGTTCTTCTGTCAGACCAGGTGAGTCCTGCAACACTGCATTGATGCTTACTTCAAAAATTTATTACTCGAATCAAATGAATTCGCCAAAGTGCTCTCGAATAATACGGCGATACATTCACATTTCATTTTCAAATGAAAGAGCCAGGCTAACAGCTTTGATCTAGCCTGCTAACCGAACGGAGTGTTGTATCGACGAATCAAACTAGACTACTATTTCAAACTTTTGTCTGGTTTGGCAGTCCTTTACCAGGCAGTAGACAGAGTCAATAGTCCTAATGAAAATGATCTTCATCAATTATCCATCGTATACAGTATCGTTTTCTAGTACATGTGACTTTTCTGTCAGTGAGAAACGAACATCCATCGACATTGAATTCACAAAATATTTTATTAATGCACACAAAAAAGAACATGATAGCACTTATTCAGATGTTATAGATGATTTTTTTAATTTTTTAGATTTATCTTTTGGTTGTGGTGCATTGACATTAGTATTCGTATAAAATAATTTCAATAAACGCATTGCTTCATCACCTTCGATTCCACTTGTACATTGTAACGGTAATGTTCCAGGCATTGGATCTTGTGCAATATTTAACACAGAACCACAGCCACCAAAACGATCATTTGAACATCCATAAATAACTTGTGTTAATCCAACAAGACGTAATGCACCAGCACACATCATACAAGGTTCACAAGTAACATAAAGAATAGATTCTGAAAGAAGCTAAAATATTGAAGCATAAGAATGACATAAAATAAAATATGCAAAACAAGAAACTTTTTGTGCAGTTGAAAGATCATGTTGAGCAAAAAAGCTATCAAGTGCACACATTTCAGCATGTCTTGTAGCATTTTTAAGACGAACAGGTTCATTCTGACCTGATGCAATAATTTTTGAATCATTATGAACAATTACACAACCAACTAAATAATAAAGTATGATTAAATCAAAAAAAAGAAAATCATATAAATAAAAAAAAAACTGTATTTACTAGGAACTTCTTGCTTATCTAATGCATCCTGTGCTAATTTAAGTGCTTCAAGCATCCATCGATGACCTGGATGATGTTGTTGATCTACTATTGACATATTGATTCGTGACTGAGTGGCACGAAAAGCAGTTAATGGTGAAATCCCGATGGTTACAGTTAATCAATTTATAAAAAGAAACTAAAACAAAAAGACTTTTAGTTTTGCAATGGCGTTGAGAAAAATGAAAGAGTAAATGATCACATTGCTTCATTTCTGCTTTTAGATTGCTTTATTATGTTTTTAATTTGCTTTGAATTGAACTGAAACAATAAAAAGTCAAGTTTTCTTTTTCTAAATCAAATTGTTGATTATCATAAAGATCAAAATTCATGGTTACAAAATACAAGTGAGAGATGAACAAAAGAATAAAATACAAAAATCAATTATTATTATACAAATTTTAATGATTCTATTTTTGAATATTATGCTAATATGGTGCTGTTTTGATTACATTGTCATGTATTTCATAAGAATTATGTTTTCCACAACGTTATCATGTAGCATGAATATGGTTTCATACAGTACCAAATGAACTAAATATGAGCCAAATATGGAATAGAATAGATTTTAGTATATCATAATCAAGTTTTTCTTCGTTATAATAATTGATAATTTCTATCGTAAGAAAAAGATAATATGAAACCAAATAAGAAAACTTTTATTTATCTTCTTTTTTTACATGTAATACACAGTCTAAATCGATTATATAATCCAATCATGTCAATTAAATGTACGTTTATAACCAGATCAATGATGAATTCATGTAGATGATGTATCGTTCTTTAGTTTTCCATCGAATGATATTAAATATGAATGTATACATTGATTAGTACGTCATTTTTATCAGTTGAATGTTTCTAACCCAGCAAAGTTCAAGGTGAATATTATAAATTCGTACAATAGATTGGATATCAGATGGTTTTCATACGTAATGTTGTCAATGTTAATCTTTATGTCATATTGCGTTCCAAAACCATCTATGTTGATAGATAAATCTAAAGAAAATTTCTGTTTTGAAAATTATTTTAAAAATAATAAATTCATACTTCATTTTCATCATTAGTCGATCATTGTGTTTTCTCAATTTAAAGCTTATGTTTCAGCTTTTTTTGTGTCTCGGAATATCAGAACATTGATCATTCGAACCTTCTGAAGCTGAATAGTTAGCATAAACAACTAATCAAACACGTTGATTGAAGACTAAATGACCAGCAATTCATCGAAATGAAATACTGATATTAACTTAAAAGAACATAGTAAGTACAAGGTTTTATTAAAGTTTGAAACTATCCATCCCTCTGTACTTCTTCACTATTGGTTATAGTACGAAGCCAGTTGAAATTATTTTATTCGTTGTTATTCTTCCTTTATATCGCTTTAGTTATGTTCTTTCATCATGGCGAATATTGACGTGTTCTTCTCGAATAATGAACTAATATAATGAGCGATTGATTTCTAATTTTATCATACAAAAAAAAGTATAAATGAAGAGCACGATAGATAGATCAAAATTTGTTGAAGAATTTGTGTCATATGTTCTTAGAAGATTTTAGACTACTTATTTAAATTAGTATTGTATACCTTCAATTCGTTCATTCATTTACGATCATCTTTCTTGGAGTTATACCATTGAAGAAAATTTGACGTTATTTCTCTTATGGAACACCTGACTATTTATCTATTAGTTCAATTATTGATCAGAGATAAAATAAAGTACTATTTCATTGCACGCTTCTTATCTGATTAACATCAACTTTTGGCTCATTGTTATATATGACATACAATGACTCTCATACCAACATTCCATTAATCGCTTTTTTAGACCTTAAATTTTTAGATAGTCTGACAATGAAAAATATAAGAAAGTCAAAACTACAAAAAAAGTATAATCTTTTTATTCTGAAATTTTTCATGAGTTTTAAACTTCAAAACCGTGCAGATCTCAAACTCAACAACATATATATTTCATCATCCAATTGTTTCTTGTAAAATATCTCAGAAGCTATCAAATAAAACTAGTCTTTTTTGAGATAATGTCAAAATATGAATCTGAGTCAAATTGGGAGTAAAAAGTCTTTAGGGCCTAAAACTTCTGTTTATGAGAATTTTAAATTAGAAAAAAATTCGATTTATCGGTAAAAAATAAATATTATGTCCAGCTGTGTAATGAAAATTGAAAATGAAATTTACAATCCGCCCATGTACAGGAAAATTCTCGCTTTTTTTAACGGATCTTCTCTCAAAACCTATCAGCAAACATTGAGAATGTCTCTCATGATCATTTGCATTTGCTTTCTATTTCAATATTTCGTAATAAGATTGAAAACAACGGATCGATTTATATACACTTCGTTTTTCGAAAAAGAAAGCTTCTCTTTATATTATGATTTGAACGTTTTCAAGCAAGTTATTCCAATTATGTCTTTTGTTTAAATTTTTTCTTGCCATTGAAAATTCTTGTCGTAAAGAAAAAAGAATCAATCGACGATAAAATCGATCAAATGGTATAGTGACATTTACTCTTTGCAGTGAATGAGATCTTTTTGATTTTTTCCATCAGTCGGTTTAAAATCAATTGTTTGATC